TGTTAATCAATTAGATGTCCCAGACTCTACTATTAATAATACAGCGGTCCCTCGTTTATCGCGGGAGTTACGTTCTAAAAATAAGCCGCGGTAGGTGAAACTTTAGTTTTTACAATGATTACAGATGTTTTAAGGCTGTAAAAGCCCTCACTACAAACTTTATACACTTTTCTCAGACAGGCATGAACATTTCACACTTCTCCCTCTTGTTTAAACTCTCAAAGTTCAAACCTTTGTAGAAAAGTAAGTCCAGTGTTATAGAATGAAACCAAATGCACCAGCAGGTGACGACGTTTCGTCGACGTTGTTGTGTTTGTTGGGGAGAAAACTCACAAACATACAGCACGTCAGAGTCACACTGCTAACCATCGAAGTTTTATGTGAATTTGACAAGCTGAACGCATTCTGTGCTGAACAGGAGACACCACACGAGACTGACTGACAATGGTCTACAGCCAATCAGGACGCAGAACACAATGCTCTGTAAAAAATCAGTGAAACGGCGAGTCTGCGAAAGGTGAACCGCGTCATAGCGAGGGACCGCTGTACAATCATTTCCAGTAGCGCTGCTGATATATGAAATGGTGAGTTTTGAGGTTGTCTTCAAACAAGTGCATTGAACCAGGAAAGGGTGTTTGAAGGATCAAAAAAGTAAAAAGTAATGACTATTTTATATTTATGAAAAAACCTTTATGCAGAAAAGTAGCAGAGAAACAAAAACATAAGACACGGACACTTTTGGCCACGAACAAGCTGAAGGGATGGTGATTTTGTGTTAAAACACTTAGAACCACGTTTATTTCTCAGCAGCATCGATAGTAACAAAAACACAATTTAGTCTTCGCTGTCAAAGTCGATTTAACTGAAGTGTTTCCGGCTGCTGTGGAGGCTATGAAGAATATGGCTCCCCAGTGGCTGCAGCCAGGTGCTCTTGGAATTGGCTGGGCCGCGCTATGAATTCTGGGATAGGTTGGGCAACGAAGGATACACCCGACCCATCCTTCAGATCTGGGGAAATGAAGGACGCATTTGTCAGGTGCAGAGTCTTTGAATTTGGACAGCCTCCGTCGCTGTCACATAATCGGCCTACAAATGCGGCCTCTGAAGGATGCAGCCCCTGAATTTGGACACAGCTACGATACCGGAGTTGCTTCTTCTTCTTCAGTGTTTAATGGCAGCTGGCATCCTTGTACATGCCGTGCTGCCACCGTCTGTTTCAGTCCGTTACTACACGCTTAAATCCTGCTACTTATTCCTGCGTCTTTCAGGAGCTTACAAAGCTTCAAACGACACGTCGGCTGTTAAATTAGTCGTCGACGATTTTGATGGTCGACGAATCGAATCGTGGCAGCCCTACCGTGAGCGACACATGATGACCTGTGCTAGCTACAATAAGCAGCTAACTGCCCGTCCCTAATCAAACTGAAGAGCGTGCTTCAGCACAACCAAACACGTGAGCCGACCAGAGCTTGGATTATCTTAAAACTGTGATCAAGGTAAACATGTCATTTTTACATTTGCACAGAAACATGTTTATTCTGTGTAAGCAGTTTAAAATTTGTGAAAGTTCAGACGTGATCGGCTTCACACACCACCTCTGAACTCCATCTGGATGCTCGCATCGTGAAACACTGGACAGATGTGACATTTCACTCCGTCTGTACCGCTGACTCTCTGTGCGTGGACTAGAGCCTAAAACAGGTCCTCGGGTTTGAAATCATGTTTGAATTCACAAAGCAGCACTCGCTTCACTTCTGCTGCTGATTAAAAACTAATAGCACTCAGCCGTATACGCAGGATCAATGGTCCTTTGGCAGCTGTAGCCATGTTTGGTGCAAAGCAGCAGTGGAAGCGGCGACACGGTTTGCTGTTTGGGTTTTCTAACATCACATTTGGGACAGAAATAGGCCCTTCAAGTGGTTGAAGTCGCTTCTGTCAAAATAAGATGAAAGATCAGGAAAGCGCACTGTGCTAGTCACGTTGTTTAGTACTGCTTTAAGTCAAGTTTAAGTATGCAGCGCAGTGACACGACCAGGCCTGTCATTACATGATGGAACACAGGCCTCTGATCACTGGTTTGAAGACTTTCTAAGATGATTTGAGGCCTTAAATTTTGGTCATTTTGTGGCTCCTGCTGCTGTATTTTTGCAAAGACACATAATTAAGCAATAATGTAGGCTGAAGTGTCGTCATATAAAATGACTGGAGGTAAAGAACTGCACTTCCAGTCAGAGTGTGATGCTGTTTGTATCCTGGGCTTTCATGTGTTCAGCTGAATCCAGATGAAGCTGTGTGCAAACAAACCAAACTACTGCATAAAGACAGACGTGTGCGTTTCCATCACACGCCCATCTTTGCTGGGCAGCAGATGCCTGCACTGCAATACACATGAAACCTGGGCTAACATTAAACTGCAGTCAGACTCTTCGTGCTTCCCACTGTGGACACCTGAAGGGGCTGCTGGGCTCCCACTCAGTAATGATGTGCGCTGCTTTCTTCAGTCACAAACAAAGACACAAACGCTCAGCAAGCTGCTGCAAACAGGCACAAAGCCATGAGCAGCAACTTGTTTAGTGAACAACACATTTATTGTGAAATCAAGACTGACGTTGGTTTAAATATTGCTGCTGATATGTAGGGACATTAGATCAGTTATTAGCAGGAAGTTTCACCCAGATTTGCACTAAAATCAGACCTGCAATAGAAACGTGTTCAGGAGCAGCGCGTGGAGAAAAAGGCCTGACACAACCCAAACACTGACATCAGGAGGCAGCGACGCCGGCTCGCCGTAACGTGGAGCCGAGTCCTTTTACACGGCGTGAAGTGTCATGGTCTGAGGTGGTGGCTGGAATTTCCATAAGGCTCCTGAACTTACCTGGATCCGCCCCTGGGCGGGGCCAACTCCTCCAGCTCCTGCGCACCTGGAGCCTATTGCAGGCAACAAGCCAGAAGGATTTAAGCCACACGTTGATGTTCATTCGCTGCCAGTTCGTCATCAACACATTTGCTGTATTCAGCTTGGCTCACGCTCCACCGCCGGACTCAGGATTCATTCATTCTGAAAATCTCTCTGTGCCTCACCTGCCTCCCTCCTGCCATCACACTCCATCTGAAGCCCCGGACCTCAGGCCAGCCTTTCCACGCCACTCAGCCTCCCCTGGATTCTCATCACCCCCCTCTCAACACTCTGTCCCCTACTGCAAGTAAGAATTGCCACTCTTACAACTGGCCACTGCAGAGCTGCCTCCACCACCTCCCTAACTCCGCCGTCTTCTCTCCTCAGTGTGACTGTTCCCTGCTCAGCTCCACTCTGCATCTCAGGCGCCGTTCCCTCGCCACGTTTCCCAGGCCACGTCAGACTCCACGTCCTATTGTTCTTTAGTCCTTGCTACGTTTCTTGCACTCAAGCCTAATAAATAATTGTTACATCATCTGCTGTCTCTCACCTGAGTCCTGTTCGTTACAGGCCACTCGGCCCCGTGACAGTGAAGACCAAGAGGCGGAGCCGTCCCTGAGACGGTGAGCTGTTTCGATCCTGTGATCAGTCCCTCACCAACAAACCAAGTGTGACCCGTTCCTGATCCATGTTCACACCAGAGATGGCGCCATACCACTTTTCTATGCCCGATACGACATCGTACATTTGGATATCTGCTGATACAGATATGAATCCGATATGGTCCATTTTGTAATCAATAAAACTGTTTATAGCTTCCTGCAAGTTCGTGCTCAAACTTCAACGCACTGCAGCCAAAGGATTTCACAGTTCAGTGATGCTGATCTTTGTATTTAAACCTTTAGCTCAACTTTCAATCTAAGTGCTTCAAGTAATATTCAAAAGTAAATTAAAATGCAATTTAATGCAGATTTCAGAAACTCTGTTCTGGGAAAAAGGAGTGCAAAGTAATGTTCGTATTCAACAACTTAAAAAACAACAGGTTGCACAGTGGAGCACTTACAGCTGCACATACACATCCAGTGGATCAGGATGGATGTCGGAGCCGTTACCATCATGTTTAACCTCAGACTCAAGTTTCTGTCATTTCTAAACTTAACACAAGGATGAAAAAGGTGTTCTTCATGTTTTGGGGTTTTGTTCAGCCTGTAACAGTTTTTTCCAAAGTAAAACGTGAGTCTGTCCATCGTTCGGTCACAGACGTCCCAGCTCCATATACCGCCTCTGAGGCTGAACGTGGGAGTGCTCCACAAACATTCACAGAGGAACTTGCTTTGTGTCTCTGGGATAGCTTTCTCCGAGATGCCGGTTTGGCAGCACGTAGCGCGGCTCCAGATGCTCTGTGAACGCCAGCCCGCCGACAGGTCCCGCACGCAACAGCCGCTCTGTCACGTGACGCGTACTGCTCCGACGCGCTGAGGTCACGAGCCGGGTTACGCCCTGTCGCAGGTTTTGTGAGGTGCTTTGTGATATTTGATGGATCGGGTTACATTTCTCATTTCTCCTCGATATCCGATCCAGTACTTTAGGTCAGGATCGGACCGATGCCGTATATCGGATCAGTTATCGGATTACTCGATGGAATAATCGATGGATTACTAAAATAATCAGTAGCTGCAGTAAATATATTTTCTGAATATTCTGTGTTTGGAACAGAGAATACTGGACTTGACTAATCGTTATTTTCAGGATCAATCCATCAGCCTAACTGAATGTAAGTAAGGCTGTAACTGGGCAGCACTTGTACTCTGTGTGAGCACTGCCCCCAGTCTGTGCCCAGCTGTCCTAACACACTGAGCTGTAGGCCAGGTTTTCATGATCATATCTTTAAATACTTGTTGAACATCAGTATTTAGGAATTGTTGGGTTTGAACCATGTTCAGCTGTGGCACAAATATCAACGTGTAACACGCGTGGTCTTACACCGACATGATAACACAACAGTTTCCAGTACAAAGCAAGACAGCAACAGCTCTGATAAGTAAGACTGGAGAAGGTGCAAGAAACAGGAAGTTGCATGACTGTGTGTGCATGCATGCAATACCTTCGATAGACGGGGCCTGGTCCTGAGCAGCATACAGCATCTCTTTGAAAGCCTGCAGACACAGTAAAAACACCAGATCAGTCTCCTGTACAAACATATATATCCTATCATCAGGTCAATGAGAGTGATCGGCTTCCACAGCAGCAGCATATCACAGTGCTGTGTGACCCATCTGTGATGAGTTTTCTTCATCAGGTGTTCAGACCTGCTGTAAACAACCTGCAGAAATACTCTCATTACATTCTCCTGCAGTCACAGAGCGTAGTCTGTTATTTCTTTTATTGACCTGTTATTTAGCTCTTCACCCATCCTTTAATAAAGCAGCCTGCTTCATACTGTGGGGCAGTGTACGCTGTGCTTTGTCCCCACTGTGGACAGTCACCCAGTCTCAGTGAGCTGCAGTAGGACAGCAGGACAGTCGCCCCCTTTCATCAGCGCTTGCTCCAGGGTTAGATAGTAGAGTGGTCAGTTAGTCAGAATGCCAGCAGGGCACCGGCTCACAATGAGCTCACTGTGTGCCGGCCCGGCCTGCTGGACAGCCGAGCAGCAGGGAAGCAGGGCGAACGACAGCCCACGCAGTCAGGCCTAAGCTTCGCTGCAGTGCTGGAACAATGCAACTAATCACAGAGTAGGAAATCGATAAAAAGGCAGAAGCTCTTCAATGCCCAATAAAACCTGCAGGCCCGGCTCGATGTTTCTGCAACAACACATTTTTGTAGTTTTGAAGGACAGACAGAAGAGGACACACACTACACTGCATGATGTATGAAACAATCCCACTGTTACTGAACAGGTGAGCTATAACCAGGGAAAGAACTGGGTCAATACAAACCTGACAGAAGCAGAGCTCAAAAACAGCTCAGACCCCTCTATCCTGGAAAACCATCAGCGCTCCAACACAGGCTCAGGCACCTCCTTTATCTTCATGACACATTTGCATCCACGTTCAGCCTGGCTGATGTTGGGCTCAGCTCTTCACACCTCCCTGACGTCTTTAACCGTGTCCAGGCTAAATGTTGAAAACGTTCGATAAAGAGCTGAAATAGCTCACGCCCCCTAGTCTTCCTCACAGACACAATTGATACCAACATCTGAGTGGTGGTGAAGAATGGCCGTGCTATCGCTATCAATACTGCAGAAAGAAGGGCCAGTGCAGTACATACTGGTCCTACTGGTTGACAGAGTGTCTCATGTGTCATCTGCAGGAGTTACCTGCCTCGGTGACCTTTAGCCTGTTTTGCTGCTCTGTAACTAATGAAAGTGGCTGCTGCTGTTATCGAACATCACCCTGACACAAGGCCTACGACCAGCACAAAGCGCTCTCTGAGCCATAGCTCCAAAGCGCTTTCCCACACTGGTCCTGAGGCCCACAGCATGTGTGACATACAGTAAGATGCTGGTGGTCACAGGAGGCTGGCTCAGCATGTGGTCAGGAGCGAGTTTCCAAAACACAACACACAGCTCAACAGGAACAAGGGCGGCTGTGCTTATCCCCGCAGATTACCCTACTTCTGTTCTTTCTCCTTCAGCGCCGCCTCGCTCTCTCTCTCGCAGCTTGTGGCGATCACCACAGGCGTACCTTTGACCCACACCAGCTGACCACAAATCTCTCTCTCCAACTGTGAGGTTTCTCTGCAGTGCTCCTTTTTGTGCATTTACACTCTGCTGTCATCTTTTCCTCACTGGCTGTTGGAAATCTTTCCCTAATCTCCTTCATGCATTCCTTTCCCTCGCTCTTTTCTCCAACCCTGCCCACCAGCACACAAACACTTTGTTGACACCAAACTGTCAGAAGGATTATATGAGTCATAACTGGATTATTGCTCACATGTGTGTCATGTAAAAACCCAGATCTCTCGGTTGTTCCTCATTTTTCTGTCCCCCAGCTTGTGTCCACAGTGCAGACGAGATATGAAGGAGCTCTGCTCTTTAGATGTGAGCCTGAAAGGTGCTGTGGCAGAATTTAAAGAGCTCCCAGGGCTGCTGACAGGTGAGGCGTTTGGGAGAGTTGTTGCAGCGCCGTGACATCACCGGTGACGCACGAGTGATGCGAGCTAAAAGCTAAAGCAGCATTAACGTCTGACTGAGCAGTTCTTTGTTTTCAGCCGTCAGAAAACAGCTTTGCTGACTGTGATGGCAGACAATGCCTCCATGTGTTGGTATGTCTCGGTGACCTCTAATGTAATTAGCTTCATTAGAGAGCCTTCAAGAATGATTTCATTTCTTTTATGGTTTGTCTTAATTGCAAGTACATGGAAACAACCTTCGTATCTGATTACATCATCCTATTTGATGAACGTGGAAACAAAGAGGAGCTGTCACAGATGTCACAGCAAGTTTACTGATTTCTTTGCACACCATGAACTAATGTGCATCTTTTTCATTGCATCGGTTTTTCTTTATTCCACATAGGGCCACAAATACATCCGCAATCACTAATGTTCACAAGTTGCACCTCGACCAGACCAGCAACAAGCGTCTGGAGAATCGGCCACTCTCCTGGCAGAGGGTATTTAAATCGGTCGAGAGTCTGATATCATCTATACACAAGTTAATCTCAGGTGTCACCACTTTACTAAGGTCTGCAGGAAACTGTCTCCCTGAGAGGAGAAGAGACGAGTCAGTGCTTCCTGACCTGTTCCTAACATCCTGAGGGTGAAGCCTGCCATGAACTACAAACTGCTGGAACACCAGTGTTCAGTAATCAGAGTTACTGAAGCCAGTTTGACATCACCGTGGACTCAGAGGCTTTTTATGGTCAGAGGAGACACAGATTGAGCCACGTGGCCACAATGACTAGAAGCATGGTTGGAAGGCGTTCAAACCTACGACTACTGTAAGAACTGGGCTGTTTCCAGAAAATGGAGAGAATAATGAAGGACTACCTTTCAATTCTTCAGCTAGAATCAACAGCTAGACAGTTGCAACCAGGACACAAAGAGAAGAATGAACCCAAACACACATCTGGGTTTGGAATGGTTAGAGCATGCTAGCATGCTAGCATCTGAAACAGCCTATCAAAAGGCCCGACTTTAGCTCGAGTGAAAATGTTCGGACTACGCTTAAACGTTAGCTCCACACCAGCAAACCAAACTATTTAAACTAACTACGCCACATCTGCCAAGAACAGCGACCAGCTATCCAGCCTGAATTACTCCAGATGCCTGCTGATGGCAAAACATCTGGACTTTGCACTGCTGCAGGTGCAGAGATGGTTAGTCACATACACTAGCTGGTCAACAGTTTGTGTTTTTAAAAAGGGAAAAGCTGTGTTGATTCAATGAAGCTAACATTTGTGGGTAAACAGAGCAGAGGGTCTGACCCTGTGCCCTCTGTGTGCGTTTACAACGATGAAACAAACACAACTTTAACAGCACCGTACCACATTTGTCTGACCGGCTTCACGTTGACTTTACCTGTATAGAAGATGCTGTCGAACTTTTCCACAGATCCGTATGCTTCATATGAAAAGAGCAGGCCGATGTCTGCAGCTTTAATTTAACTCAGCATACAAATAACAAACAACAACATGCATTACTGTACAGACATCAGGAGCAGGGGCCAGCAGATCGTACGAGGCTCTGTCAGGGCGGGCTTCCATCAGAGGCTGCAAAGCATTGTGGGACACAGAGACACACTGACAGGTGGGAAATTTTACACAGACGTCAAAGTTGAATGTGACAGGACGCACGCGGGGAAGTTTCATCTGAAGGCATCAGCCAGTGCTCCCAGTGCTCCCAGCATTATCAGCAGTAAATCATTTTACACCCACATATTTACTCAGTCTTTCCAACACTGGTGTTTCTACATGTGTGCCTCTGGCTGCAGAAAGACATGAGGGTTATGACACTGAAGCCTTTTTTTCTGTTCCCTTCAATCTCCACAATTGCCATGTTCCCAGTGTTCCCAGTGTTCTTCTGTGGGTTCTTGAAATGTTCTTGAAAGTCACTACAAGTCAGTGCACGTTGATTATAGTGATGAGCTGTTCATGAACGAGCCGACCTCAGTCAGGAAGAGCTGAAGATTCAGCTGCTCAGCATCCAATGTGGCCAATCACACGGAGAGACAGATTGGGATCATACCATTATGTGAAAGTGGGTAGATGGGGGTAGATGATCCAAAGACAGCGAGTGTAGTGGTACAGGCCGAGTACACAGAGACAGGGGTTCAGATTTAAATGCAAGCAAATATGAGAAAATGAAGAAATGAGCCAAAGGAAAAGGAGAAGCAGCTGTGTTAGTTTTCAGTGATAGAGGAGACTGTACAGCTGAGTGAAGAGAACACAAATATTCATCAGAGCAGGGTCGACAACAACAATGAAGTCTAGGAGCCGTCACCTGTCCCCCTGACCCTGGATCAGCTCTGAGCAGAGTTTAGTTTGATGACGAGCTGGGAGAGATGACTTCGAGCTACTCGTTCTTATAAAGCACTATTCTACTGTCCCAGAGCTCACAGCTCTTCATACAACATGCCACACTCACTCACACAAGCACCTTTTAGTGCTTCCTAGCTAACCTCCACCCACACTGGGGGTGCAGGCATCACCAACCTCCTGATCAGTAGATGATAGAGCAAACTTTGGTTCAGGCTTCAAATGGTAAATGGACTGGTTGTTATACAGCGCTTTTCTACTCTTCTGAGCGCTCAAAGCGCTTTACACAACCTGTGCATTCACACATTGATCTAAGTGCTTTCTAAGTAACATTCATACTCCGATGGATGCATCAGAGAGCAATTTGGGGTTAGTATCTTGCCCAAGGATATTTGGCATGCAGACTCGAACCACCAACCTTCCGATCAGTAGATGACCTGCTCTACCGCCTGAGCTACAGCCACCCCTGTAGCAACATGTATGTTCTCCTCATTTGTGGTAAAGCCATAAAAAATAAGTCTTTAATGAAAAAAGTAGAATAAGAAAATTGCTTACCAACTTATAAACCATATTTCATATTTGCTGAATTAGGCTAAAATAGAAGGCATCAGACACTAGCTGACGGGAGCCGGTTCATTAGTGACCTGAGAGGTTAACAAACAGAGCCCAACTAAACACCA